GAACTTAATTACTTATTACTACACACACACACACACACACACACACACACACACACTTAATTCACTCTTGGATTTCCAAGCGCAATCCAGTTGACTGGGAGATAGTCATGTGATCTAAAAGACCTTTGAAAAAAGCCCCAGGGTGGTGCAAAACCTTTATAATGTTTAGAGATTATAATCAAACATAGAATGGGCAAAACCTAGATTAGGCTAAACTACATCTTTGGACATTGTATCCCACTGTTTGTTCCTATCTCAGCCCAAGGGGGCAATAGTTTTCCACAATAAATCTTCACTTCAGTCCCTATGTTACTGATATGTATATGTTCACAAACAAGTTTTCAAGTTATTTCTTTCTAAGCAGTATTTGATAGGTATATTTCCTTCTATTTTTTCCCCATCTTCAGTTATGTATCACAGATGATTTTCCTGTTTCATTTTCTTTTGGCAGCTGCTGTTTTTATCTGATCATTGGCCTGATTGGTTTCCCATTTGATGGAAAAAAATATACGATTTTCCTGTTTCGTCTTCTTTTGGCAGCTGTTATTTTGATCTGATCATTGGCCTTGATTTGTTTCTCTTTTCAGCCAAAGTTTAAAACTGCTCTGTAATTCCAAGCAGATGAGGCTGGCAGTCAACCCTATAATTATAACTTCTCTCTTTACTCTCTAACTTCAAACCTTCTATTTTGACTTTTAGATTCTCAGATCACAGAGTTTTAAGGTACACCTTGGCGTCCAGGCAGGTCTGGCTCAACTAGACTTGTTTACATAGTCTATATAAGTTTTGGAGGTGAGCTGTGGGAGGTGAGCAAATGCTCTCTCTATAAAAACAAAAACACACAAATTTATTGAGTCTGTTTAGCTTAAAACTCTACAAACATAAAGACAGACAATCCCCACTCCAAAACAGGCAATTTTAAGAAGCACTTTAAAGTTCTGACTCCGGTCCCCTATTCTAAGGTTGGATCCAGTGGGGTGCCCAGTTTTAGTATACTTGAAAGAGGCACCTACTTTTAAAAGTAGATTTTAGGACCCGAGGAAGTTTATTGAAGAAGGCTGGATGCTGCAGAATACTTCAGTATTAGGTACAGTCCTCAAAATGCTGATGTAACTGAGTAGGTTGAGACACTCTGAGAAGAATATCTCACCAAACTTTTCAAACATGGGTGCATAAAGGGAGGCCTGTAAATAGGTATTTAGGCACCTAATTAAATAGCCTAATTTTCACTGGTGCTGAGCACCACAGTTTCAATTTTCTTAAAAGGTATTTGAGGGTGCTCAACACTTCTGAAAATTGGATGCCTAAATGTGGCTTTATGCATCCAGCTTTGACAACTTAAGTGGTCCATCTTAAACTTATCACTTAAAATTAAGTGTGCTCCCACCACAACGCTGTTTTGGAAGACTTTAACACTAATGATATGTTTAGGCGGTGTCAATGCAGAAGTGGGCATATTTTAAATTAACAGGTCCAAAGAGCCTTAGTGTTCTAAATCAAATTATTAGGAGCACTAAACCCAGTACTAACATATTCTGTTATCCAAGCTTTCTCAATACATCTCTCAATAAATACTCCCAAGTCCAAAGAACGGCTCTTAGGAAAAGCCTGCAGGTGAAATCCTGTTGAACCTCATAGCAAAGCTCTGGTTGAATTCATTAGGGGTAGGATTTTACACAGAGCCTCTTAAAGCCGCATTGGATTGAGCCCCCAGATGGGATGCAGTGCCAGAGCTGGTACAGACGTAGATTTTAAATTAACATAATGAACAAGAACTTCATAGGCAACTGGTGGGGCACCTTCCATGTCATCCTGTTTGTAGAAGTTTGTCAATGTTTTATTAAGAAAGATTCTTAGCAATGAGGGTTTAATAAAAGTAAATTAAATCATGGTATGCTTTGATGTTATATATCAATATACTTCCTCTCTAACAAACAAGAAAACGTAATCATGTGGCCCAACTATCCACTTCCAAGAAAGGCGGGCATAAACATGCATGAAACTTTTCCCCATATGAGCCTAGCTTGGTCCTTCAGAACCTCCTACAATTTTTGGCCACATCAAGAGTCACCCAAAGGCTCTGGAACGCTCTTGAGACCGACCACAATTTAGGTTTTGGTTAAAAAAGAAAGAAAGAACTCTCAGGACATAGTTTGGAAATCCTACAGGGGGTGGGGAAGGGAGAAAGCTCTTCTGAGAGTTGATCTTGGAAACGAATCACACAACTCCCCTCCCTGGAAAACGCCACCGTATTAAACTCCTGTATTGACGCCAGCAGCACAATGCTGCACCGCCTCCCCTCCCTTGCAGCCATCCTGGGAGAAGGCAACGGAGCCTTTAATAGTCTTGTAATAGACATTAACCCCAAGGGGGATCTCCCCTCGGGCACTCACCATGCAGGAGCAGGGCTGGGAACAGGTATCTAACCAGGTTGCAACAGGGAAGGGACATTTCCAGCTCTCCACCGCCTCCTCCTCCTCTCGCCTTATTTCCTCTCCTTCCACCTCTTCTCGGGCTCCCTCCAGTTCCCAGTAATCCGGCCCTGGGGGCTGGTGGGTGCAGCGAATGGTCCCGTCTTCAGCGCGGACCTGACAGCCGGGCAGGCAGGAGAGGCGCCGCGCGGGGCCAGCAGCGGCTCGGAAGGAGGCGAGCTGGGGGCACTAGCCCAGGCAGAAGGTGCCGCCGGATCCTCCAGCCGGGGGAGCGCTCCCGCCACTCCGCCAAGCCCCCGCCGCCCGCCCGCGCTCATGGGGGGACGGTGGGTCCCATCGCTGGGCACCGCGGGGCGGACGTGCTCCCGCCCGGGGAGGTGCAGCGCGCTCCGGCTGTCACGCCTGCGGGAGCCTCTCTGCCCGGCGTCCGCTGGCTCCCGGGCGCCCCTGTCCGTCCCCGGCAACTTGTCTGCTCGCTCGGCAGCGGCAGCCGCAGCGGCTCCTCTTCATATCCCCCTTCCCGCGGCGGGGGCGGGGCCAGGCCGCGGGGGCTCCGGGCTGCCAGAAACCAGACACCCGGGCACAAGAGGAGATCAGAGGGCGCGAGGCCGCGGGCTCCCAGCCCCGCCCGCTTCTGGCGGCTGCCCCGTCAGCCCACCCCCCGCCCTTGGGGGGCGGGCTACCGAGCCGCGGCCACCTCGCCAGTCTGTCCCCCTAGCCTAGCCCCTTCCCGTGCAGCGATCAGTGTGTGCCCCTCCTGCCTCCCAGCCTCGTCTCACCGCCATCCGGATCCTGGCAAGGGGGGCACACAAGGAACTAGGGGAGCAGTGGCAGAGGAGCGGGAGTGATGCTCAGCTGGGATCCCCCTGCCCCTGGCAATCCAGGCCTGGAACCACCCATAGGTGTTGGAACCAGGGGTGCTTCGGGTGCTGCCGCACCCCCTGGCTTGAAGCAGTTCCATCATATACAGGGTTTGCAGTTTGGTTCAATGGCTCTCAGCACGCCCACTATACAAATTGTTCCTGCACCCCTGGAACCACTATGGGAAATAGTAGGGGAAATTATTCGCCAGTTACAAATAACATTGTATTTGTAAATAATGTGTGGGGCAAATGGGATCTAACCATCTGTAAAGTTAGAAAAACAACCGGGAATAGTTATTCATCAGTTGGCTGGGAAAATCAAAATCAGCCAAACTATTGGCAAATACTGTTCGACCAGCTGTACTGGAAAGGAATGAGTCTTGCCAGCAGTGTTTCACTTTACTGTATATAAATAACATTTTCAGACAGGTATAAAAATACAGATAGGCCTGAACTGCAAGGGTGTCTAAGACATATATTGATTAAAATAAAAAAAAACAAAGTATATACTTTTGCCTGAAAGGCCTTAGGCAACATACACATGAGGGAACTGTTAGAAATCCCAGTGTAAATTAGGTGTCTTTTAACTAAAAAGAAACGTCTAAGCTCCCTTCTTTGGAGTTCCATTCTGCTGCTTGCATTCCTCCATGTCTGTTGTTGATTAGTTTTGCTTTGAGTCTAGCTTTAGGCCCCAGTCATGCAAACACTTATGCATGTGCTTAACTTTATGCATGTGAAATCAGTGGAACTACTCAGGGGCTTAAGGCTAAGTACATGCATGTTTTCAGGATCCAGGGCCTTATTTTGTAATAGCCACTGGCCAGAAACTTCCTCTTTTCATTTTTCCTTGTGTTCAGTTCCTGCACCTCATTGCCAGTAATGTGTGACAAATTGGAGAGAGTTCTGGGGAGAGCAACATAACTAGTTAGAGTTCTGTATAGATGAACTAAGTAACAATTAGCACTTTCATAGTACTTGATATATTCAAAGGGATGTACAGAAATTAATTAGCTAATCCTTCCAAGACCCTCATGAGATATGTATAAGTATTAATATGCCCATTTCTAGCATGCGGGGTGGGGAACTGAGGCAGACCCTAACAGAGAGTCAAGATTAGAACTCAGGAGTTTCTGATTCTCAACCCTTGCTCATTCCTTTACACAAGTGTTTCCCAAACTGTGGACCGTGGTTTGCAGAGCACTTACTGGAGATGTACTGATCAGATGGTGTTGGCTGTCCTCCATAGTGCCTGCTAAGTGAGATAAAATGAAGAGCAACACTTGTTTTTGTTTGTTTTTAAACAGGTGAACATGCTTCTCACATTAAAGACAGTTAAAAATATACAAATATGTACCCAGTGTAACTTTTCCACATTCAATTAATTGTTGTAGTAGCCACAAAGGGATGCTTCACAATCCTGTATGGGAAAAGAGAGAATTTTTGGCCTGATATCTCATTTATGTTGCAGTACACACTATGAATGTGTTTGGAAACCCTGCTTTACACCATGCTACCTTATGAGGAAAGACAAAAAGAACTAAATATGTGTAGTTTGCCAAAACAATAAGTGAGGAGGGACAGAAGTCTGCAAATATTTAAAGACTGTAAACGAGGAGAGAAACAATTCAGGATAACAGAACAGACCACAGAGTAACTAGAAATACTGGAATTAAATGAAGAAAGAAGAAAATTAGGGTGAATATCCAGAAAACTTTTCTGAAGGTGCTATCTGTTTGATTGGGGAAATGGTGGACGTACTACTACTGCTAGCAACAATCCTACCTTGGTAGGAAGAGGTACCAATAGTTCTCTTTCCTCTGTAGATTTGTGATTGAGTTAATGGATAACTTCAGTGAGTGAGGAAGGATCAAATAAACAATGAAAAGGCAATGTTTATTTAAATATGGTAAAATCATCTTCATTTATGGTTTCTGAGGACCCGACACTCAACAGAGCAGGTGTAACCCCAACAATGACCTGCTAAACCCAGGGTTGTGAGTTCAATCCTTAAGGGGGCCACTTAGGGATCTGGGGCAAAATCAGTACTTGGTCCTGCTAGTGAAGGCAGGGGGCTGGACTCGATGACCTTTCAAGGTTCCTTCCAGTTCTAGGAGATAGGATAGGTCTGTCCTTCTGAGCAACGAGGTACTGCACTGCGGACAAAGAGATAGTATAAATACAAAAGAAGGATGGTGTGCATAAAACACAATGTACAACTGTCGAACATGGCGACAAGATTATTAAGGACAGGTTGCACAGGTTAGGAGTAAGCCATATTGTAAGAGTCATACACCTTTGGCACAGATACAGATTGTGGTAGAATGCAGTGTGTGGGAGAAGGCTCTGCTAGTATAAATTACCTACTCCTGCCACTTAATGAATGCATGTCACTTCAGAGCCCAATGAGGCTCCTTACTGTTGCTGCCTTGTCTCATCCAGCATATTACCACATCTTAAAGAAGCAATAAGTCACAAGACAAAACAGCCTGGGGCTGGAATGTGAAAGATAGACTTGACTCAGTCATTACAACAGAAGTGAAGGACTAGCAATCATGGAGTGTAACAGATAAAATTCCCCCAATGAGAAGATTCAATCAAGCTATACCCACTTAAAAATCAAATGAAAACTAGTGAATAGATAAAATCATCAGTAGGTAACCAGTTCACCCAGCAAGTTAACAGTGTCTTCTGGGAATTAGTTATTAATGATACTGCCACGGAGGTCATGTGTACTTATGTAAAAAATTTAAAAGGAACAGCAATGGCTTTATTACTGCATTGAACAACTCTGTGAATTAGGCTCCATTTGTGATTTACTATCAATGCAGTTTCAGATGTGGTAATGAAATAAAATGAAATCAGTACCTAATGAGCTTAGACATTACAGAACTTTCCAAAAACAACACAGATTGTATTTTGTCTTTTATGTGTCTTTTTAAATTTGTGTGATTTTAAGGATATGTGACTCTGTAGACCAGGGGTGGGCAATAATTTTCACTTGGGGGCCACTCCACAAATTTTGGTAAGTTGTCACAGTCTGTGCATTTTTACTATATTAATGGAGTGCGGGGTTTGGGGTCTGGAAGGGAGTTTGGGTGTAGGAGGAAGCTTCAGGCTGGGGTCGGAGATTAGGGTGCAGGAGGGGGTTCTGGCCTGAGACAGGCAGTTGGGGTGCGGGAGGAGGTGTGAGGTGCAGGCTCTGGCTGGGAGGCGCTTACCACAGGTGGTTCCCGGTTGGCGGCACAACAGGGCTCAGGCAGGCTGCCTGCATGCCGTGGCCCCATGCCACTCCTGGAAGCGGCTGCGGCCGGCAGCTGCTGGCATGTCTCTGTGTGTCCCTTGGGGGTAGGGGAGCAGTGAATCTCCATGCGCTGCCCACACCTGCAAGCACCACCCCTGCAGCTCCCATTGTCCGGTTTCTGGTTCCCTGATGTAGGATATATGCCTAAACACATATGTAATGTAATCTTCTTGAAATCCAGCTCTTGGTTGTGTTTCTTATAAATAGCATGGGATCAGAAACATTTAAAAAAGGAAGTAAGGAGGTCAGCTGAAGTTTGAGTATGCCAGCAGCCATTTTGAATAATAATTTTGCAGTGGATGCATTTTAGGGCTGGAGCTCTGTGTGCAAAAGAATTAAGGTGAGGAAAAAGCCAACTGATTGGACTTGTAGTGTGACTCTTCAAAGAACTAAGCATATCAGCATCACACTTGTCAAGCTAAAGTTCAGGCTAGCTGGCTGGCAGCCAATGCCAATCTCACCATGAGGGGTATTTAAAAAAAAAACATATTGGAAGAGAAAGGAAGATTGGGAGAATATAGACACTGTAGTTTTTTTGGGAAGGATAGGACATTAGTCTTGAGCTCAGTAATGCTCTGCCAATGCCATATACTGTACTATGATCTGCTAATGGCTAATTACATTTTTTTTAAAGAAAAATACTGTTTTGAATAACAAATGTAGTTTGAAAAGAGCAGGATGTAAAGATTTATTAGAAGGAGACCTGAGCCAATAGTTTCTGACAAATAATTTATCTATAATATTTCTGTTTGTGAATTGGCCATGAAAAGATTGTCAAATTCTTGAATTTATTCATTACTTGAAATTAGTTTTGAATTTTTTCAGTTAATAATTCTTAATCTGCAGATTATTCATAAAGAATTCATAATGAGTATCTAAAATTTACACTGTGTTTTCTGATTGGATTCTTTAGGTGACTAAACAACACAGTTGAATTACAAATCTTACAATTAAATATATCATTCCAAGTTGGCTTTTAATGACTATGGGCCTGATCCAAAGCCCATTAAAATCGGCATGAGTCTTTCCTTTGACTTCAGTGGGTTTTGGATCAGGCTTTAGCTGAACATTCACCCTTAAATTCACTTTGCACTAGGATTTTTGTGAATCAAACTTCAGCACTCAAATGTTTGCAGAAAGTGAACACAAAAGAGTTGTGAACACAGTCAAATTGAAATTGTTTTGAATTTGAATGAATATTTATGGAAAAGTTTTCCTACTATTTGTTTAATTCTATTTAGAATGCTCAAAACAAGTCTAGGTTCTGTCTGATACATAGAAAAATGCATTGTATTACATCTTGCTTTGGCTATTTGAGGGGGAAATTACACAGTTTTACTGTGTAGAACAAGTACAATTGCTTTAGTTCTCCATACAAATGTGGCTGAAAAGCTACAGTGTATCTACAGTGTAGCAGGGT